TCATCTGCTATTCCTTCCTTTGCTCCTGTTTTGTTAGTGTTTATGTTCACTGTACCCCTACCTATGGACAGCCTTTCAGCTGGTTCCTGAAGCCGCTTGGGCATCTCGACCGGACTACTGCCTCGTCGGTTTGCCGCTAGCTAGCTGCTCGTGCTCATCCAACACGTGGTGGCTAACTCTAGCTGCATCAGCGGCTAACCTGATTTCCTAGCCCTTCTCACAGGCAACCTCCACCAGATGCGAGCTGTGACCGAGACTTTCATCTCCTCCTGGCATGCCGTGGATCATTTTGGCACTTACATCAGTCATCCATCTTTGTGTCCCTAGTCCATTGCTAGCTGCTATCACGGAGCTCTCAGTGCCTCCGCCATGTTCAAATACTCAACTCTGCAACTGGTCGAATTAATCAACCACTCCATTCCATCCTGCATCCCAGTCATCAAACAGCTCGAACTTCTTCGATGACCCCGTTACATCCACAGAAGCTCTCGCCGCAAGTTTGTTTATATTCATCACGGACAATCCATTCCATCCATCTGGTCCCCTGCACACTCTGTCGCACACCTCTCCCACATCATCATAACGCTTCCCCCACTGCATCACATAGAGCTGAGCGCACCAACAGGCTGCACAAAAAACCCGGACTGGACTACAGCGCTATTCGCACTTCACCTATACCTATTTTCCAATCATTTGCAAAGTCCCTCGCTGTCCCTCCTCAACTGCATTACCCCCCCCACACGCACTGTTAACTGGGGCAACCTCAGATCTTTCCAGTCTGCCCCCATCTCACCACCCTCTCACCATGCCAACTTTGCCCTCCTCAACAGCCGATCGATTAACAATAAAGCCCCTGCCCTCCATGAACTAATCCTCGACAACACACTGGATTTCCTTCTACTCACCGAAACCTGGCAACAACCCAATGACTTCTTCTCTCTCAACCAAGCATCCCCCACTGGCTACAATTACATCTGCAAACCCCGCCCCTCCGGTCGTGGTGGCGGCCTCGTCGTCATTTACAATCAGAACTTCCGGATCACTGAACTCACCCTCCCCTCATTATCTTCATTTGAATATCTCGCCTTCAAAGCTCTTTCCTCCATGACAGTCATCCTCATCTACCGGCCACCTAAACCAAACCCTTCCTTCCTCTCTGATTTTACAGAACTCCATCCATGCCTCTTTCCCCTCTCTGATCACAAACTGATACGGTTCACCATTCTATCTCCAACCGCACGCACCCGCCCCCTTAGAGAAATCACCTTCCGCAACCTTAAATCCATTGATCCCCACCATTTCTCTGACCTGCTCTCCACCACTCTCCACCTGGACTCAACCCTCACCTCACCTGATGATCTCACAAACCACCTCAACTCCGCTTTGTCTTCCTCCCTTAACTCTCTGGCCCCCCTCAAAACAAAAACCGTCACCATTAACATCTCGTCACCCTGGTACACACCTGCACTCCGGAAAATGAAAAAAACTGGCCGCCAACTTGAACGTCTGACAAAAAAATCATCTCTCATAGTCCACCATGAAGCCTATAAACTCCACCTCATTGCCTACAAAGATGCCCTCATTGCTGCCAAATCTGCCTACCTCTCCTCCATCTTCACCAACCCCTGTCATAACCCTAGAACCCTCTTCTCCACAATGAACAACCTCATCAAGCCTCAGACCAACACCCTCCCTACCTCTTCTCCGCAACTCATTCCTTCACTTTTTCGCTGATAAAATCAACACCACTTATCAGTCTCTATCCCCTGCATCTGACCTCCCAGTATCTACTCCAGCACCTACCACGGACCTTTCTTCCTCCTATCCTGCCTGACCTCCCTCCTCCTCCTCCACACTGCCTCCTCTCCCAGTTTGACCTGGTCACCACCCCTGAAATCTCTAAACTCATCAGCTCTTCCAAACCCACTACCTGCTCACTTGACTCCCTCCCTACTCCGCTCATGAAGTCATGCCTCCCCGTCCTTTCCCCCTACCTCACTAACCTCTTCAACTCCTCACTGTCCCTTGGAACTGTCCCCTCTGCTTTCAAAACTTCTGCTGTCACCCCAGTCCTTAAAAAACCTGGTCTGGATCCCTCTTCCCTTAATAACTACCGTCCAATATCCAACCTCCCCTTTCTGTCTAAAACCCTCGAACGTATAGTCACCTCACAATTATAATCTCATCTCCATGCCAATAACCAATTTGAACCCTTCCAATCTGGTTTTCGCCCCCTCCACACAGCACAGAAACTTCTCTACCTTTCCAACAGATCCCACTTCATCTCTCTTCATAACCACACCTCTGCTACAGTCACAGTCACCCAAGGCATTCCCCAAGGTCCCGTACTCGGCCCCCTTCTCTTCATCATCTACATCCTCCCCCTTGGTCAGATACTCCGCCACTTCAACCTGAACTTCCACTGTTATGCCGATGACACCCAGATCTACCTCAACACCAAATCCCCCCACAACCCCCCCCTCTCCCACATCAACTCCTGTCTGTTAGCGATTAAAACCTGGATGCAACACAACTTCCTCAAACTAAACAGCAATAAAACAGAATTCCTCCTCATAGGCTCCAAATCCACTCTCAGCAAAGCCAATAACCCCACTCTCACCATCGACGGCACCATTGTCTCCCCATCTCCCGAGGCCTTCAACCTCGGTGTGATTTTTGATTCAACCCTCTCCCTTGAGCCCCATATCCGTCATGTCATTAAAACCTCCTTCTTTCACCTTCGAAATATTGCCAAAATCAGACCCTCACTCACACCCTCTGCCGCTGAAAGACTCATTCACGCCTTCATCTCCTCATGGCTGGACTATTGCAACTCACTACTCCTTGGTATCAGCTCAATCTACATAAAAAGACTCCAACTGGTCCAGAACTCAGCCGCACGACTCATCACCCGCTCCAAATCCTGGCACTACATCACTCCAGTCCTAAAACAACTACACTGGCTTCCCATTTCTCACCGGATCACATACAAAATCCTGGTCCTTAACTACAAAGCCATTCACCACCTGGCCCCTTCATACCTCACTGTCCTCCTTTACCCCCACCAACCATCGCGGTCCCTTAGATCCACCTCAGCCAGTCTCCTCTACGTCCTCAAGTCCAAGCTCAGCAGTTTTGGGGACAGAGCCTTTTCCAGGGCAGCTCCCAGGCTCTGGAACTCCCTCCCCCATGAGATGTGCAGATGAGAAGAGAGGAGAGGCACAGAATCCACGTTGCTTGAAGTCCAGTGTAAAGTTTCCACAGTCAGTGATGGTTTGGGGTGCCATGTCATCTGCTGGTGTTGGTCCACTGTGTTTTCTGAGGTCCAAGGTCAACTCGGTCGTCTACCAGGAAGTTTTAGAGCACTTCATGCTTCCTGCTGCTGACCAACTTTATGGAGATGCAGATTTCATTTTCCAACAGGACTTGGCACCTGCACACAGTGCCAAAGCTACCAGTACCTGGTTTAAGGACCATGGTATCCCTGTTCTTAATTGGCCAGCAAACTCACCTGATCATAACCCCACAGAAAATCTATGGGGTATTGTGAAGAGGAAGATGCGATACGCCAGACCCAACAATGCAGAAGAGCTGAAGGCCACTATCAGAGCAACCTGGGCTCTCATAACACCTGAGCCATGCCACAGACTGATCGACTCCATGCCACGCCGCATTGCTGCAGTAATTCAGGAAAAAGGAGCCCCAAATAAGTATTGAGTGATGTACATGCTCATACTTTTCATGTTTATACTTTTCAGTTGGCCAACATTTCTAAAAATAGTTTTTTTGTATTGGTCTTAAGTAATATTCAAATTTTCGGAGATACTGAATTTGGGATTTTCATTAGTTGTCAGTTTTAATCATCACAATTAAATGAAATAAACATTTGAAATATATCAGTCTGTGTGTAATGAATGAATACAATATCCAAGTTTCACTTTTTGAATGGAATTACTGAAATAAATCAACTTTTTGATGATATTCTAATTATATGACCAGCACCTGTACATTAAGAAGTACTCCCATTAATGCAAATAAATAATTTGCAGGAAGATGTACGTTTTAAAGCTAAACAACCCCTGTGTGGCTTGAAGGTGTATGTGTTGTGTCAGTACTGCAGTGATGATCTATCCATGTGCCTTTCTGTTTACGGAGATGATTGCGTGACCCTACCTGCATCTGGAACACCTGGGCCCAGTTCTCCACCTGAGATAAAAGCCACACCTCATAGATTGGCTGTCTCTCTCTCATCTTCCCTGTCAGCTCTGCACCTTTTTGGTTTTGTGTTTGCTCTACTTTTTACACTACAATACTTGACACCATGTTTACACATCCACACCTACACTACTGATGCTGCTGACTAATACATCCCATAGTTGATGTGTTATTTTTGTTTATTTTGTGTTATAATAAACGCAGTGTATTTCAGGCATTGTGTCTTTCCCACTTTTGTCATGGCCTTTGAGCCAGGTTATGACAGCTACTACTAGGATATTGATGTTGTAAGTTGTTATCCATGTATAATAACTAAGTGTTTTTATATATGTTTCTATATGCAGTCATCTTCTGTATATGTAAAACGTTATGTACTGTAAGACATGGGAATCCCATGGGTCCCTCCGTTTAGCACCCCTTCACCAATGGCCAACGTGAGGAAACGAGTCAGAAGCAAGGAAATACAGGGAAACTATTTACACAGCCCTGTGCAGTGGTCTTAGCCAGTACCACTGTCAAGCTAATCAAAGCTCAAAATACACAACAGAATTGAATTTTCACAAAAAACTTTTATTGAAATACATGTTACCTTATTCTTCATAATATTACAGATATTTTCTCTATTTAAAAAAAAATATAATGATAAATCTATAGTAAATTAAAAAAATATTGTACTAACCGTAATTTGACACGTTTACGTCCGTTTATTTTGTTTATACTTTAACTTTGAAGGCATCCTCGCGTGGTTTCCGGACCAACTCTGCCTTTTTCTAGCTGGTTTGACGCAACTCATTAACAGCTGCCTGCCTGGTTGCTAGACGACTCGATCTGCAACACTGGTGTGGAAACAGTAACCTATAGCTACGTGGAAAGGAAACAACATTTTAACGGATTTCAGGAAGCTATGATCAACAGTGTCTGTCACCTCATCACCGGCTTCTTACGTGGAGAATATACTGAGTTCCAGCGAAAATCCCAGTTGTAGCATAGCTAACGCCTCTTTTGTTGCCCCATGTTTTTACTACTAGCAAGAGAGGGGCGACCTGAAGTGCGCTTTTTGACTTGGAAAAAATGAGAGGATTACACACAGAGAAAGTCAAGCTTTCCAACTTAACGTAACGTTTGCTTACCAGCTATGATTAGCGCAACTGCTAAGATGTCTCTGGAGGCGAGTGATGTTCAAACAGATGAAGACTGTGAGGAGCTGGTGAGTCCTTAGCTTTGGTTAGGTCAAGAATACAACTGACTTTCTCCCTCTGTCTGTAAATTAGTTGTTTCAGTAAGTGTGAAGTACCTATTGACACACCTGTGTCCGTATTGAGCCTGTAACTCAAAACAGCACGCAACACAGTAGTTTAAATGCCAGTTGTTCACAACACTTGTAGTTATGTCTACTTGTGATGCCTTAGTTGGGATATGTGCTGAGAGAATTTTAACCACATCCTTCTTGTTTGTTTGTCAGTTGTCTCATATGAAGGACTTTTAGAGGTCTGTAGAGGTTAAAGTGTTGAGTTAAAAATTAAGAAAAATCTCAATCTTAATATAAATAGAATATTTTGTGTAACAGAAAATTTAATCATCTTAATCATACATACCTCAGGTTTATCATGGGACCACCTGTGTGTTCAGAAACTCAGGTTGGGAACTCTGGTTTATGAGAGTTTATGAGGCATAGCCAAATTAAACATAGGCTAAACATTTCAAACCCAAATTTGCATTTTTTTTGGATTATTGGTAATTGTGGATTAATGTTTTCTCTCTCCCCCCTTTGTCTGTTCAAAACATCCCTTTCTCATTGACACACACTGCTGCCTCACTCTTCTGTCCAACCTAGGATGGCTTCTCCTTCTCTGCTGATATTTCAGAAAAGGTAAACAAATTAACTGTTAATGATGACTTTCTGTGGCACAACACTTCATGTAGTATATCTTTGCACATTTTTGTTTTTCTGCTTGGGTCAATGTCTTGCTTTAGACTTATGTTCTGCCTCACAGAGTTAAATTGATTAATACACCTTTCTTCTGCTTTAACGGCTTTTGTTTGTTAACTATCAGAGAACATCGAGGAAGCGATCTTCTGGCAAGCCTCCTCCTTCTCCAAGTAAGCACCTGCCCAGCTGTTATGTGGATACATCTGTGCAGATACTGTAAAAAACCCATTTTCCAAATTCCATGATTATTAATATGGAGTATGTATATGTGTAGGGTCTCCATACCTCTCCAGTCTGAATGTGAACCCCAGAAGAGCAGCAGTGGCGGCCTGGAGACTGCCGAGGGCCTCCCTGGGGGACACCAGAGGGGATACGCCTGGGGACATTGGCTCAGCTTGCCTCACATCCCTCAGCAACGGCCATGGTAGGCACTTTGAAAACATAACTGAAGCTCCACAGACTGTGCCGAGGCTCTGATGGAAAAAGAAATAGAATGAGCGAGAGACTCAGTTTGTTCAGATGATAGGTGGTTTGAGACTTTGTAGGTATCCTGCTTTGGGAAACGGATGATTAGCAACTCTGCGAGACTTAAACAATATTCCATTTGGCTTGATCTTTCTGGGAAGAAAAATTCAATTCAATTACATTATGCAAACTTGTTATTGGATCCATTGTTATATTGGAAAAATGGATCGTGGAGCTTGAGGGAGTGTTCAAACTACAAAGTGTTCTCTAAAGGTATTAAATGCATGAGGCAGATAGAGTTTTTACTTGTGTTGGGAAATATCTTGAACCTTTCTCTTTACGTCCTTTTCAGATGTGTCCCAGACGCTGAGATCAGAGAGCGACGTCACGCCAGAGCTTCTCCAACAGACCTTGAGCACGAGAAAACACAAACTTCTCCACTCTGGATCCAATGGTGAGAGAATGTGTAGGTGTGTCCGAATAAGAGATTACATGAGGAAAAGTAGACACAGTTGACGCTGAAGGTCAGGTTTTGTGCTGAGGATGGGAGACGGTATCAGAAAACAGACATAGTGAGGGTGGTATTATGATATCACCACCATCAGGTGTTTCATAACTGCAAAGTGAGAATATGTCTCACTCTGTTTGAGGGATTATTTACCATCTCCCAATTTCTCCCTCTGTGTTGCAGGTTTCACCTTTGGCACAGGTGACCACAGAGAGAAGGAGGACATGTATGATGAGATTATTCGCCTCAAAAAGGTAAAGAGTTACAAAAATTAAAGTTGTGTATTCAGTTTGTTCTCAAATTCACGTTATGCAAACAGGAAAAAACACACTGATAGAAAACATTGTGTATCAGGGTGGTGTGATTTAAAAAAATAAAAAAATTAAAAAAAACTGCAGGCGAGTTCGGCGTCACACGTCAGTGTAACGTGACGTGTGCACTGTGCCTCTCTGGTCTGCCGAAATGCATTAAATGCCTTCTAGTTCCAGTGTGCTTTTCTGTAGCTAACTTAGACATTTATTCCTGCAGAAGGGGAAAATGGGAGTTTAGACAACTTTATTTAGATTTGGCATCTCAGGATTTTCTCTATAGGATATGCTCTCTTTATATGTTGTAACTTTTCATTTTATGCATTTCTTAGTGTGTGTGATTAATCACTAGTGCTGTTCTCTGCAGAGTCTCCAGGCACAGAAGTCTGACAACCAGCAAATGAAAGCTAAACTTCGCCGCCTGGAGGAAGAAAATTCTAAAAGAGAGAAACAGATAGAAGAACTGTTGGATCCCACTAAAGTAGGATCACTAAATTGTTTCAGTGTGTTGTTTTGAACAACAGAAACATTTGGGGAAAAAAAAGTTAAAACATTTTTCTACTGTACAGGGATCTGAATATACTCGTAGTTTGGTGGATAAGAAAAAAGAAGGGAGTGTGGTGAGTACGTCCAGTCTGTTGATGAACATGTCAAATATTATTTTCATATTGATTTTATACAGATTTAAAAAAATTGATTTTATCCATCAAGGTTCTAAATGGGCTGAAACAGAGAATCCTGAAGCTGGAGCAGCAGTGTAGAGAGAAAGAAAATGCCCTCAGGTACACTTTTCCACCTTTGTTTCCACTTGGTTTATGTGTGCACCAGTGTAATGTTAGGTTCTTCACTTTATGCCCCCAGTAAACTACAAAGTGAGCTGAGGACCACCAACCTGGAGGAGCTGAAGATCACAGTAGAAACCTACTATGATGAGGTAACAACTATACCTCAAAATATAAAATGTCTGCTTTTTGTTGTTTTTCCACCTAAATGTTAAACTAAAAAATCTTTTGCCATGTTACCGCATACAGATTTTCCCAAAGCAGAAAACCTAATTCAACTATCAATGTAATGAGAGTCAGAATTTTACACTAAATATTATGTTTGGATGAAAGAAGCGCTCCGCTCTGTGTGTGCATCACTTTTACTTTGGTTGCAGAGTGTGCGAACTCAGCTGTGGAAAAGGAAATCCCACCTAACGTGTTTGTGTGGCTCGCCTTTCAGATCCAGAGGCTGAGGGTGCTTCAAGAAGCTGCAGAGAAAAGGTATGCAACTGCTTAATTTCCATGTTTGTTTATGCTAGAGGACAAATTGTGACATAGAAAGTTGTAACAAAATATTTTCAGCTCAGGGCCGTGACCCTGAATTAAACTGTATTTGTATTGACCCGAATGTGTAAAGGTGGACCATCAGACTTGGATCTGGTCCAAACTGTAATCCTGTACTTGTTTTTGGCAGTGACTTCTTCCCCTCTACTGTTATTTATCTCTTGGGTACTTTAACATGATTGTAGATTTTTGGGTGAGTGCTGGTTGTTGCATTTACTTTTCATAAGGCTATCAAATAATCAAAAGAAATACTATAAAGAAGTGTAAAGATTGATTGATAAGATTTCGCTTTTGCAGAACTGAAATTAGACAGTTGTGATTATTGAGTGATTTAGATCTTTGTCAAATATATGGTGAATGAGTGTGTAGTCAGAGATTTTAATCCTGGGTGTAAGGAATGTCCACACAGATTAGTCAAAGGAATTGGGTTGCAGGATTTGTAATAACTGTTTAAAAATACTGTCATCCGTGCATTTATTATCCATATCTTTCTCATGAAATCCCTCCCTTCCTCTGTCTGTCTACAGTAGTCGAGCAGAGAGTAAATGCTCCCAGAAGCAGCAGAAAGCTTTAAGCGCCACGGTTCATCGTCTGTCTGAGAACCTGAAGCAGCTCCAACAGGAGAACACAGCGCTCAGAGAGGAGCTCAACACTGACAGTCCTACAGGAGGAATCAAAGGTCTTTTCTTATGCAACAAACCCACACAGACAGCCTTGTCCCTTAGACTTCTAAAACTTACCAGATTAAAAGATATTTATTTTTTTATTTATGCGTTTAATCAATTTCTAGGTTTCTTTTGCTGGATACAGGTCTAAATGTGACATCTTTTACTTTGCTCACTCCATCTTTCTTGGTTTACTTTCCTCCCTGTTCTGCTGTGCATGAGTGCTAGTGATCACAGTGTGTTAAGTCAGTGGAAACTTACTGTGTCGAAAATTTTGTGATGTGTCGAAACAATTATGAAAGCTGGAGGTGAATAATGACATTAACAAAACTGTATTCCATACAGAGGACTGTATACAATAGCAGGGAAATAGAGAAATATACTCAAATGTATTTTCCACATTGATTGCATTAGTGGATAGACTTTTAGGCTCTTCATTTCTGCAGAAAACACAACCGTATAGGGAATCAGACTTGTTAAAACTTATATTATGGTTTATCATGAATCCATAATCCATAACCATTAATCAACAATTTAATTAATCAAGTTCTATAGAGTTAACTTTGTTGTTGAGACAGAATTCGGGAATCATTTATTTAAAATTGCATCAATTTCAAAACCTGCATTAAAAGATGAAAGATCATGGAGGTGTTGTATTCTGTTTTGTAATGTGTGTGTGTGTGTGTGTGTGTGTGTGTCTGTCCCTTAGGTTACAGAGAGTGGAGTAAACAGAGACTGTTGAGACGGCTGTTGGAAGTTGAGAAGGTGAGAGAAAACTGTAACTAGTTGTCCATGTAAACACAGGCAGTCATCTGTGTCAGGTGTCTTACATGGATAGCAGCTTCATCACACGCCAACCCTTCTCTCCTCCTATCAGAGGCTGGAGGACAGCAGAAGACATGCCCAGTCAGCACAGAGCAGCAACCGATTGGATCGGGAGGTCCAGGCCGTGCCCACTGAAATTTTGGGGTTTACCATGGCAACAGAGGCAGTGGTCTCAGTGGGAACTATCACTGACAAAGGGGAGGAGTTTTCTGATCTGCGAGAGGGCCTCAGCCAATTGGAGAAGGAGAAGGTGGAGCTTCAGCAGATTCTGTCAAGTAAAGAGTGAGTGAGACCTACTCAGTTTACCTGCAGCCTTTATATATATATTTTCTAGTGTATCCATTTTAATAAATGTCTCATGACATACACCAAAGGGAAAAAACCTTGGTGTTTTACCAGAATTTAGGTGGAGCTGCATTGTTTTTATTATTACAGTGACTGTTGCTATGGGCATAAAGTCACTGGAATTTGTTCTTGGGACTGCTGTGTTTGTGTTTTCAGTGATGAACTGAGACAGTTGAGGACAGAAAGACAAGAATTGGAGAAAGAGACCGAAAGGTGGAAAGCTGAACAGACTAAAGAACGGGACAAAGAGAAACAACAGCATAAGTAAGTTTTTAGTTGTGATGTGCCATTCAGATGATTAGATGATGTGTCATTTGATTCAACTTGCCATACTATGCAGGTAACATCAGTACATCTCTACTATTTGTGAGCTTGAGATTTATAATATAGCTCTGCTTTTTTTTTTTTTTTTAATTCAAAAATCAAAAGGCCTCCATATACATGTACATATTCTTTGAATGTGTGGTGGCATTTAAAAGAACTGTCACCCACTGCTGTTGGCACTGACTGCTGTTGGATTTACATCTGAAACAGTAATTTTATGTGGAAATCTACTGATTCACATCCTGCAGATCACAGCTGTTGCCTTTTTCACACAAATGCTTTGTAGTTACATCAAAAATGTCCCAGAGGACACAGTTGGCATCATCATAAAGATCCACAGGAGTATTGTCTGTATTCAAATGATGTCTAAATGTATAACAGCAAGGCAAGAAAGAGAGACGACTGAAAGAGATGTGGCAGTGTGGGTGATGGTCAAATCAATATTATAAAGACATTAAATTGGAAAGAAGAGTTGTTAGCTCTTACAGACTAACATCTTCACTGCCAGCTGGAAATAGTCACTTTTAAATAGGCAGCAATGAAACTGCCAGACATGCAATTGGCAGCCAATGCTAATGCTAACCTATACTAGATGTGTTGGCTGGTGTGTCTGATATGATCAGACAGTAATTGTTAGCTCACTTGCGTCACATTATATGTGCTTCCTACCATGCTGCAATTGCCTGAAATCAAATCTGATTCCATGTATGTGTGAAAAAAACTCTCAGAAAGTAAATTTATATTTACCTTAAAACCAAAGTCATAGGTTTAGAAATCCTAAGCTTGCTAATTGTTAGAGGACTTCCACTATGGCTGCTAGTTACGTTTTGTCATTTGTTTTTTATTGTTATTATATTATTTATATGTTTGTGTTTCTCAGACAAGAGTTGGACCAATTGTGGGTGAGGATCCAAACTCTGGAGGACAGAAGTAAAGCACAATCTGAGCTCTCCCCTCTCTCTGCCACATTGCATGAGGACACACAGGCTGGAGCAGGCCTGGAAGAGGGAGAAGAGAGGGACACTGGAGGTCAAAAAAAGGAGGAGGAAGATGATGAAGAATTGGGTAAAGATGCAGAGAAGAAAGAAAGAGAGAAAGCAGCGTTTGTCATCCAGACAAACTGGAGGGAGCACAGAAATAGGGTATGTAACACCCCACAATTATGTAAAAGAAGTGATTAATGTGTGAGAGAAATATTATATAAAAAATGTCCAGACCCTTTGTCCCAGATTTCTTTTTCTCTCTCTGTGTTCTATCTTAAGGACATGGTGGTGTTGCAGTCAGCATTACGAGGCCACCTCCTGAGAGAGTCACAGCTCAAGGACCTGCTGAAAGACGCTCAGAATAAGGTTTCACCCACACACAAACACTGTTGCCTGCCGAATCACTATATTCAAGTATTTTTTTTAAACTAATGGCCACTGTAATAACAAAAAAATATAATTTTTTGTGGTGTAATTACAATATTGTTGTTTGTAATGTTAGGCATTTCTTAGCAATATTGTGAGTTGATATCAAGAATGAAGATATGGCTTTCCATTCTGCACAGCATACAGTACTCTCCATCCTTACACCCTCGATTTAGATATTTTGTTTTGTAGGACTTTATCAGTTGCTTCGACACTTCACCACTGCCAGTAGTAGATGTGTTAATTAGATTTTTGTGATTCACATACAGTATTTAGGGAAAAAGAACTTGTAATACAGCAGGGAAGAGAGATGTTGTAGACTGTAGACAGTGTGAAACTCTGCACTGTGTATTTCCACTGCTGGACATATTAACTATGCCACTGGGCTCTAAAGCCCTGCTCACTACAGTAACAAACCAGTCACTGGTTCATTGAAGTAGGCCTACTGTACATCTCATCACTAGCCCTCATGGGTAAATGACAGAGACAATTAATAGATATCAACTCATCTTTTTGGCAAATGCGATTGTCCTCGCTAGGTTTTTGTTTAGGAATGTAGCATTTACTGAAGTACAGTTCTTAAGCACAATTTTTAGTTACTTGTACTGGAATTGAATATTTCCATTTTCTGCTTTGTTCTACTTCGCAAACTACACAGCAGTAACTTTATCTAAAGTAATCAAAATTAGATCAACTTTTACCAGCTGCAACATTAAAGTGATAAACACATGAATGCTTCAGTAATTATAATCCTGTTACTAGCGTGCGTTGTTTAACCTGTCGGCAGGGGTAGATGAAGTAGGCTGGCACCGGCCAACCTGATTAGCGACCCTACCTGACAGACGTGTCATCCTATCTGCAAAGTCAGACCAGTTAACACAAACCATCGTACCACAGAAAGCGAACTTAATTAAGACCTGAGAGCAGAGTAAAGGATGTGGAAATGAATCAGAATTCATGTATGTCATTGACTCAGTATAGGGCAAGTCTGCTAGACATCATTACAAACAGACTTGTGCTGAAAAAAACTCATGAGTTGCAGCTTAGTGAAATTACCACTAGATGGCTCTACAAATCATTTCCTCAAGCATTTTCTCCCTTTGTCTCCCCACATAAACATACATGTCCCTGTCTCACCCACTGAACATCCTATATCCCTCTTGTTCTCCTAATTATGTCTCCATGCTGCTCTGTCCCTTCCTCATATTTTCTTTTCAGGCTGTAGTAGCAACCAGACGTACTGATGTTGCATCCTCCATTGAAGGAGAGCTGGATGTGGTTGCCTTGACGATGATACAGTCTGCATTCAGGGGACACCTGGCTCGGTGTAGTCTTGCAATAGAGAGGTAACTCATGTTTACACACTGAATTGTTAAAAGAAGAGACCCAGTAAAACCTACAGTGCATTTTGTGGCATTATGTGTGTGTTTGTGCATTAGCTCAGGGTTCTCTATGCCTTCAAACAATTTGCCCACGCTGGTACCAAGAAGAGCTCGCTCAACACACACATCCAGCAGAACAGGTGAGGTTCACACATACATTTTTATGATTGAGAAGTGCAAACAAACCAAAAAAACATTCAGACTAACCATGTGGTACACAGCATTGCCCACAAAGAAAAAGGTCAATAATACCTGCTGTGTTCAAAGAATTTATTTGTTACATCTATGCCACTGTAAATGTTTGGTGTTGCAAATTAGCAACTGCTAAAAACACTACGGTACACACATTAGATTGCAGTTTTCAGTTTTTCTGTGTTAGATGTATCGGCCCCTGATAAAAATAAACCATAAATAAAAATAAATAATGTATGGTTTCCCTTTGCATTCATGATTGACAGTTTAGTGTCATGTGTGTTTTGGCTAATAATATGGGACTTCTCTTTATATCCTTGAAATATAGCAAGGCATGTGACATTGACAGAAACCACACCATCAATACAACCACTCAAGAGTGTCAGTCAGAGTTCAGGCTTGTTGTTTGTTGAGTATACAACACCATGGCATCGTCCTGTGCTCAAACTCAAAACCGCTCATCATATCTAACCTGACGTCTTTATGAGTAGTGAAAGATCTCGCTAGCACACTGATCTAATTACAGAGTGCCTGTGTTCTCTGCACCAGACAGCTCTTCTATAGCCTCCATTCAAGAACTGATGAGGATACTCAGCAGCCCTGTTTACCAGTAATGTTGCTACCTCACAGATCGAAAGTTACCAGTGTTTAAGAGCCCTTTTCTAGGCTGCTGCCTAACCTAAATTTACCCGGTTAAACTCCACCACCTTCCCCATCGCTTTCCCCTCCATCTCCCTGACTTTCACATAGCATGACAGGAGATGGGCGCATAGAGCAGAGCAGCGATGTCAGCGTTTTTTATTTTTTTCTTTTTTTCTGCATGCTTACAAATACTGCCCCTGCATTTGAAGTGCAGTGGGCTTCCCTGAGAATTTTTGGACTGTACCAGTTTCAGCTTGTGATCCTCATCTTATTTCTTTGACATTGGTTTGTCATAACTGTAGTTTTGCTGCAATTTTGGTCAAAACATGCAATCATTTGCATCGTCTATACATATATTTTTATGGATGTGTCTGAATTGTGCTTTACTGACTGGTTACTGAAGGGCTTATTTTGTTGCCAAGGTGCCGCATCCCTCCATAAAGACAATGAAAAGCATGATGGGGAAGAAGACCCCTGGCTTGTCTCTAGCACTAATTCCTCCAGGATGACACCCACAACAGGTTAACAGAGAAAGGACATATCCTTTTTGGTGTTTTGACAGTTAAAAGATCCTTTGATCAGCATGTATATATCCTTAAACCTAATTAGATTTCTCAACATTGATGTAATGTTTGCTGGAGGAAAATATGTAGAAATGAGAGCCAAATCTTTATAAAATCATACATATTTAAATTGAAATATGCATATTGGAAACTGTTTACACCTTCTGTTGTGTGTTTTGTGTCTTTTGTGAGCTGTTTGGGTTAAACATAATTAACAAAATTATACCCAAGTGACTAAGCACAGTTTGTACCTTTTTTGTATCTCCTGCAGATCAAACAGAGCTTTGCACAGCCGAGTCTGGTGGAGCCACTGCAGTTGATTCTGATGATTCTGATGACATAATCGTGTCTCCGTCACGGCCTCTGAGAAGTAGAGAAGTCTTCATCTTATAGGCCTTTAGGGAGTGTGTGTGTGTGTGTGTGTGTGTGTGTGAGAGAGTGTGTGTGTGTGTGTGTGTGAGAGAGAGTACAAGCTGGAATAAATTACACCTGTGTTTCTACACACAGCTTGTATGTCAGAGACCTCCACACTTTCATCATACTTACCAAAACATTTTGGTTTGGGTTCTTACTGAACCTGCAAATAATAACTGGGATATTCCAGCATTTGTCAGGATAGCATAGAACATATTCAATATTTGCTGTTAGCTGATTGTCATCTGTGTATGCGTTTTTTTCCCTACAGTAACAACCAGAGTATTCTGGGAAGGTGACTGCAGAATCTTTTATGACGCACACTTAAGAGGTACATACCTCACTTTGATCATGGGCTTATTTCAGAAACCAAATACTATATGTCGATGCATCCCAGTGTTGACATGAGGCTATAGGATATTCTCTGTTAGTGTAGGAGAAAGCACTCACATGAAGATGAAATAAACAACTCCTTTCATTTTAATATGTTGTTTTTGGTTTATCATTTAAGCCACATGGGCCATTTGAAGTAGTCTTATATATTCTCAGTGATTGTTTTGTTTGCCAAAGTGCCTACTGCATGGATATTCAAATGAAAAATACAGTAATATGGTAAATGTATTAATTTCTCTTAACCTGACACCCCCATTTGAGCCACATAACTGTAAATTCCTCTGGATTTTGCTGGCCTGAAATTACTAGCGAATCATATTTTGACGTGCCTGATGTATTAAACGTCAGGACACTAATCTATCATGTATGCTTAATAAATGATGTCTGATTCTGAGGTATGATTGAGGGATGATTCTCAACTGATGCACTATTGAGTCAAACTGTGAATAAATTATATATCAGTCTGCTGCAATACTAAACACACAGTTCGTACAGTGGAGGATACACAGGGAGTCTATCTAATGCCAATAATGTTTGTGCTCTGAAATAGATGAATGATTACATATAATGAGGTCAACAAAGAATGGATGAGTGCAGTTTTCCCCACATGATGTGTGTAACTTAATTTCTGAGCCCTTTTAATAAAATACTGTTGTTATAATAAAACATGCCTGATGTAGTTCTTGCTGGAAAGCAGTGGAAAGTATCCAAGTACCTTTACTCTACTACTTAACTTGAGGAATTGTGTTTACGTCTTAATCCTTCTACTCTACTACATTTAAGAGGGAGATATTGTACTTGTTCCCCCACTACAATTCATTCCTTTGAAAACGAAGATTTTACATACAAAACAGAATGAGCCAACAATATAAAGTGCCAAATTACGGCCACCTTGACCAGCTAAAACATAAAATGCTGCTAACACTTGTAATAATAATCCTACAATATATCAATTTGACAGGCTGTCCTGCCACCTAATGTGTACTTTTACTTTTGCTACTTTAAATACATTTTCATCATTTGACACTGGTATATTTACTTACAGAAAGTAAAACATCGCAACTACTTCTACCACTGGTAATACTGATGCAATAATGTGCAGGTAGCATTTTACTGCAGTAGCTGGCTGCAGTAACTTCTTTATACACAGTTAGGTAGTACAGTCCAGTGGTTTCCAACATAGGGCCAGGCCCTCCTCCAAATCTGGACGGTCATGAGATAATTAATGTCATAGGATAGAAGAAAAAAAATAATTCAGTTAAACACATTTTAATTCCTTTCTGGAACATTTCTCAAGTGAATTTGTTAATAATTGGATATGTTTACCTCTGGGTCTCAGTTAGGTTAGTGAAACCATCTCAGAAGTTTAGAGATGAACTCTTTAGTTAAAGAACAAATAAATAGAAAGTAGAGAGTAAAAAATATTTCCTTCTGAAGTGTGGACTAGTTGAGTAAAAGGTATAAAATATCATAAAATGAAAAGTACTTCAAAAATGTACGCTACTTACGTAAAGTACTTGAGAGAATGAACTAAGTTACATTCCACCACGGAGTGTTATAGCCTATAACGTAATACTGTATGGTAAAATCTGCTAAACAAATACTTTTACTTTTGATACTTTAAATACATTTTACTGCTACTTCTGTACGTTTACTTGGAATATGTTTAGTGTTGTAGGCCTACTGGTAATTTTACTGCAGTTAAAGGTCTTAATACTTATTCACCACTGCTTGAAAGTACAGTTTTCTATTGTACCATGTACTACCGTCATTTAAACGTTAGGGGGCGGCCTCTTTGCGCATTTGCCCTTTCCCTCCCTCCCTCAGTCTCTCTCTCTTTCTCTGTCTGACACACACACACACATACATACATTTGCAGAGCTGGAGCTGCCGCAAAGCCCCGTCCTCCAGGGCTTTTTAAACACCGTGTTTGCTTCACGCTCCAACAATATCATCCAATTGAAGAGCCGCGGCGCTAAATGCACTGAACCGAGGATCATCGTGGGAACAGCGCCGAAGAGCACAAACCGTTATGTTTTAGGAAAAGGGACAGCGACGGCATCGTCAAACTGTAAAAATAAAAATAAATAAAAGATATTGAATTGCGGGTCAACGGGTTTAACCCCTAATCTGTCTCAGCATTGTTGCTCTCGAGGGGAAGGTAGTGAAAAGAAGAACGCGCCTCGGTGAAATGTGACCGTTATTCCGTTATTTTCAATATGGTCAAGTCTGCAGCAGACTCGGTCGTTGCAGCTAACGTTAGCTCGGTACGGCCGCGTTGATGCAGCAGCGCACGGTTGTGGTGTTCAAATCCACCACCGGATCTGGGAAGACAATAGATGAAATATACGCCGGCCTGGACTCCCAAGACTACAGTAAACGAGAGTCTGCATCCGCTTTGGCTTCACAAGGTAGGTTGTAACAAGGCTCCCCAACACAGAGGCTTTGATGTCCACAGACATTCATGTAACCCTGAAGCGAATTCTTGCCTTTTCTCCTCCTGGCTGCCTCGGCGACTCTGTGAGACTGCGGTACTTTTAACGGACAAAGCAGGATAACGCTAGCTAATCCGGGTTTTGCTAACAAATTTATTGACTCTACGTTTAGGTTTGCGGTTTGAATATGTGAGGATACCCTCGACTGGGTTTGACCTACATGTGCTGGTACAGTAAAGTCAGTTAATAGAAAGAGTCGTGACTGTGTGAGGGGTTTGATTTAATGGGCTTTTCACCCTCCACAACACATTTATTTTTTTACCAAGCCTGTGTTTTTGCCGTATGGGCGTAATTGGGTGATGCGAGGTATCTGTCAGCCATGCTATTGTCGTGCTATAATTTATGTACAGTATATTCAAATATAGTATGACCTCATTGATTTAATATTTGCTTAAAATGGGGTATTTAAATCAAATTTTTTATTTTATTTTATTCCCTTTAAGCTACATTTAATGGTTTGTGATTTTTGTTTGTGAGTGGTAATGACAAGTGAGCTGTTTTATGTCACTAATACGTTGTATTACAATAAGGCACTAACCCACAATACACCAGGAACTGTATGGGAAAACGACAAAATCATCATATTTTTAACCTGCAGTTTCATAGAATTGAACTGTAATTAAGCGATGTGCCATTTTGCACTTTTAACCACACAGGCAGCAACATGTACAGGTGTGTAATTGATAGGTTAAGTCACACTACTGCCAGTCCATAGTGAATTAGGGATATTCCTGTGTTTCACAATTTAGATATTTTCAATCAGTGCAAATTGCTAAAGAAAGATATTTATAAGACATGATCTTTCTACAGTGCACAAGTGTATCCTTGACAAATGGCAAAAGAGTGTGTGTTGTGTAATGTCAGTTATCATCGGTAATTGCAGGTAATGGAAGCAGGTTTTAAAGTTTTGGTGGTGAACAGTTTTAGCAGCAGGGACTGTGCATACTGAACCTTTATCTTGCTTAATATGTTTGGTGAAATGACATCAACATTAGCTACTTTCTAGCTCCGCCTGTCATGATAGGTGATGTGAATTGAGCATGAAGTCATTTATGTGCCCTGTTAACCCACAGCGGCCGTGAATTTGTCCACAGTGTCCCTGTGAGGAATCTGTTTAGAGTGAAGTGACAGGCGGCAGGTAACTGGATCAGGATGGCGGCCGTAGTGAACTACTCTCCGCCATGGTGGGTGAATCTGCTCCATCGGTTGCCTCATTTCAACATGGAATTTCAGCTTGTGAGCAGTGACTTCAGACCGGAGGACTCAGAGTACCAGAAGGTAAGACAAGTACGGGGGAATAATTACCTCCCACTCAGAATTCATCATGCAGCATCACCTTATCATCCTACCTCCTGCCACCTGCCCACACTGTAATTTCACAGCAGGGTGGCCAAGTGGTGACTGAGGCTGTCCTGCAACCACAGAGTTGTGGGTTCCCTCCCTGCATTGATCAATGCTGTGTGTTTGTGTGTGTGAGAGAGAGAGAGATGTCCTTGAATCAAGCCACTGACCCCTGGCTGCTCCATCATTGCTATGGATAAATGTAGTGCAGAAACTATTAGTCACTGAATCGATTAGTCTTGTTGCTCCCAATCTGGGGGTCGGGACCTCAAATGTTTGCAATATAAATCGGAAAAATTAACAGCAAGATAGGAAAGACAGCATTTCTGTTACACAAAATGATGTTTATTTTTTTGACATTACTCCAAACCTTTTTGAAATATTGGAGTCTTAACTCTTCAGGACATTGAAAATGTTTCAATAACACAATCTCAGAAGGGAACATAACCTTCTGGATGAACTGCTTGCAGCTCCTAGACTTATGAAATCTGTGATGAGGAATAGTGAGTTGGCATTGTTTGCCTGGCTCGCCAAAGGTCACGAGACAAAAAGCGTGGGAAACAAAGGTTTAATCAATGGACAGAAAATGGTCGCCAACAAGTTTGATTATCGATCAGCGGTTTTAAATAATTTGTAAAGCCGAAATGCCTGGCTTTGGGAACTAATTATGGATATTTTTCATCATCTTCTGATATTTTATTGGATTAACGATTAATTGATAAAGTGAAATAATAATCAGGATTACTTTATAAAACTAATCACAATCGCACTGTGACAAAACTGTGACACTGCCTTAGAGAGCAGCTTTATCCTCCAAGAGGGGCTTTGGCCCCCTTTTTTTGCATTTCATTTGAATCTTCAAACAAGGTGACTTTCAGGTCTCTGCACCAGAAAACACAGCCTTATGAACCAAGACACATCCTTTAGAAACCCACATTTCATGCGCTGCTGTCACCCCTCAATGTAGTTTGCTGACATGTATGGGGAGAGGAGGAAGGGCGTGCAAGTTCAAGTGCTGAGCGTGGGAAGGCACCCACGGCCACAAGCAAGGGAGGGAGATGGGAACTGGACAGAGAAGCAGGGAAAGAGGAGGAGGAGTGAGAAAGATAAAAAGAGACTGATTGGAAGCGAGAGGAGAGAGAGAAAGCTCGATGAGCCATGGGAGGTGCTTCTAAATTGCCAAATAGCCACTTCCTGCGAGCTATTCAGTGTTTAACTAAGGGCCTTTGTGTGTGTGTGTGTGTGTGTCAGTGTGTGTGACCACTGGAATTTTAAGGACCCCCTTTTTAGACTAATTACATCCTGACATATTTCAGCAGGCAGAGCTGTTTCTATGTCACTGAGCATTCTGCACTATGATCATATGTTCGTGTGTACGTTATTTATATGTACAGTGGTTGTGCATATCATGCTGTATACATCATATACAGCACATTCACTTTCTGTGTCAGTGCGTATTTAGCACTTGGTGTTGTTTGTCGAGGTGAGGTCACAGATCTCCCTCAGGGGTTGTGTATGTGTCTATGTGTTATTGTGTGTGTGAGTGAATATAGGGGTTCTATTCACAGTGAAATCATTAATTCTGGCTAGACGGGGGGAGCAAGAGGGAGGGATAGAGGGTGAGAAGAAGAAGAAGAAGAAGGAGGTTGAATTGGATTGGGAGAGCGAAGGAGGGAGGGAAGGAGGAGGAGGAGGGGGGGCTGTAGGCTGTTGTGAAAGAATGCTCTCTTTCTTTCTTTCTTTCTTTCACTCTTTCACTGAAGCTTGTCTTTAGATTGGCTCAGTATATCTGTCTCAAAGGCTTTCATGCGTCCACTCATCCAGCTGAGAAATGCACAAACGCACACATACATACAAACAAGGTCCTACACAGTGTCTTTTAGTGCACTGAGTCCGTCACCACACCACGGCACAACACAACACACACACACTCACACGCTCCCACACAATAGAGGGGGATTCTTCTGTGCAGTGTTTTTCTTTCTGATGTGATTTGGCACAGGCTCATTTATATTCAGCTCTTGAGCTCTGAAGCTGCTGAAAACTTTCTACTCACACAATGTCACTCACTCACTCATGTACTCTTCTATGCAGATGTTTTTCTCTTAAACAAACTAAATAAAACAACTGTTCAACATTCATTGACAAGAGCAGTTGCACTCCGATGACTTTGGCTTTATTGTGGATGCTGACTCCATGGCTTTCTGCAAGAAAACTGTTTTATTTTTTTCCCCAGAGGAGCTGAAATAGGAGCTGTTATCCTGAGGTCCTGCAAGGCATTGGAATTGCTTGTGTGTGTGTGTGTTAGTCTGTTTGTGTTATGGTAGAATCGCAGAGTCAGCTACCAGCCACAGTAAAACAGCTGCAGAACATTACAGAGGAGTCATGTGACCTATAATAATACACACATACAGTATATTCCCAGTTGTGGAAAGTAAGTCTGTAATTGGTATTTTGAATAGTATGCTAGAGTTTGCACAGTGGAAGATGTTATCTCATAGCATTTTGAAAAGGATTAAAGTCGATCAAAGACAAACAAGAGTGGCACCACTCTTGTGTTTAAAGATCATCTGAATACTGACTTTGCTGTCAGCGTTTTGGTTGCTCTTTGACCCCGTAGTACAGGTGAATATTAGCAGAATGAACTTGAGGTCAGTTAGCGCCTCGGGAAAGGAGTTGAGAGGATAGTAGGCAAGGCCAGCCTACAGAGTACACACAGGCAGAGAGAGTGCAAGGACAGCTCACTCAAGTGGAAGTGATTGATCCTGTCAGTTCAAGCACTCTCACACACACATTCACAGGCGCGCACATACACACACTTAAATGGACAGATTGAAAGTAGATCACTGTGCCTGGGCGTTTAACATTTAGCCCCTCCTCCAGCCTGCAAGCCGATCTCCAGCAGCGTAGATGCGCACACACACTTCAATCTAAGTACACACATGCACAGCCAAGCTCACCATGCTTATTAGTAGCTAATTGATCCACGCTTAATCTGCTCTGATGGTTTGTCAGCCTGACAGTTAATCTAGCGGCCATCATACACAGTGGGAGCAGAGGGAAGTGGCCGCAGAGACCTGCTCCTTAGTCAGATTATAAGTTTAACATTTAGCCCAAACTCCTAGTCAAGAGTCCTACATCAGTTGTTTTCGCTTTAAATGATTAGTTGTTTGACAAATGTAGGGCCAGTTAGTTGTTAAAATTATTTTTCAAGCAAAAATGCCAGATATTTAGTGGTTCCAGCTTCTTAGACGTAAGCATTCATTGCTTTTCTTTGTTTTGTCACAGCAACTTGAGTACTTGGATTTGGACTGGTAATCTGTTAAAAAAACAAGCAACTTGAAGAAATCTCCCATCACCATGGGCTTTTTGAATTTGTGAATTGCAGCTTTTGGGCTGCTGCTAACTTTTATTTTCATTGTTAATGAATCTGCTCATGATTTTCCCCAAAATCCATTTTTTCAATGTCAGAAAATAGAGAAAAAAGCAGATTTTAATATCCCAAAGCCAATGAGTATGTTTCTTTTATTCGAACAATTATCAAAATTGTTTTGAACAGATCTTCTGATCGCTTGACTAATTGTTTCAGCTCTACAGTTCATAATGAAACTAATACACTCTCTAGCACATCAATTTCCTCTATATCACAGTATCAGTGTCATCCAGTTGTCATTCTTTTAGCCTGACTTATGATGGATGAATGTCATGATAACATCCATCGTTATATAGTGCGAGGCATAATTTTCATTCTGCAAAGCTTAATGCGTGTTTACTCTATATGGTTAAAGCCCTAACAATAGTTTTGAAGGCACAAGAGATTAAACAATGCATTAGTGGGGCACAGTACGCCTTTACCAGAGCACAACGTCTCTAGCACTAAGCCTACACATAATAGTATAGGATAAAAAAAGCAGTCACCAGGAGTCTACAGAGCTTATCTCCCTCTCCTCTCCCACCAGCACCCTCTCCTCCTTTCATCCTCAGCTCATCTTCTTTAACCTGTTGGAGAAAAGCAGTCAGAGGAAAAGCAATCATCTGATTTCCTCTAACTCAGCCCTGCTTTCCCATGAGGACGCCATAGGCTACATTCAGACTGCAGGCCAAAGAGACCCACATCTTTTCCGGTTCAGATTTGGGCACTGGAAAATATCAGATTTTATGTGACCTGGACTGTTCACACTGTTAAAAAAATAATCAAATATGAATCACATATGAGAAAAATAACAGTTTTGGGTCACTTTGGCCAGCAGTCTGAAGCAGCCATAATGTGGCAATGACAGAAACACAGAATTGACACATAAAAACATAAATACAGGTTGTTTCTTTCTCAGTATTGTGACACTCAAAGTTTAATTAACTCAAGTTGTAATGCGATAGAGCCACATTTGCTGTATAATACTTAAACTAAGATTGTCAACACAACCAGAGTAGTGTGAATATTTTAAGTTAATTTAATTCTTATCTATTAGCTGTAGGCTTACAGTTAAGAAACATGAATTCGAGTGTATTAATGCCTCAGCAGGGACTGATGGTTTTCGTTTGTACTACTGTTTGACAATTAGCCCACTTTTCTTCCTTCACTTTACAATACTGCAGGTCACATCCTATTATACATCATATTGTATCCCATCTACTGTTTTGTAGTGACCCATTAGCCTGGCCAGATTGGCTGTAGCTCTGCAGATTTGATACATTGCCCTTTGCTGACCTGGTTATACATCTGCCACAGTTCCTACTTTATTTTGAAATGCTGACCTTATTAGGCTGTGTTGTTTTTCTATGTGAAAAGAGATTTGTGCCTTTGAAAACAAGCTAGAGACAGCATATCAGATGGTTCTCGTGTGGTTTTTCTGAAGTTCAGTAATTTCCTGAGAAAAACAGAATATCAACTCAGACTACAGGGATAAGAAGACAGATCACATTATGCATTAACAATGCAATTCATTTTAATGCTGATATCATTTTTTTTTAGCTAAGCTAGCGGCAAACCTCTTAAGATGGCTGTGTGGGTCAGTACGTTGGTCCGTCCACCAACATTTAGCAACACCCTCAGATTTATCTTGATACCTTTTGGAAGTCCGAACTTCAGTTTGGCCACCACTGCCCCAGAATATTATGCATTAGGTGGCGTTCCTGATATATTTAGAAACAATAAAAAGAAAAAAAAATTTAATGCATTTTTGAATGTCACTCTTGGCACATATAGACAACAGTACACATGCATATTTATAGTAGAGGTGCATACATTCCTGTAGGGTGAGGAAATTGCTGGCTGGCAGTGAGGAAAAATTGAGGTCAGCAGAAAAACCAGCAGTTTAGAAGCCTGGGAAGGCAGGAAGTATGTGATGGGTCTTAGAGGTGGAGTCAGCTTTTGTTATCATCCGTGGAAGAGTCCCCACAATCACACTGCTTTGTCTACTGTAAGTAGTTTAGCAGGTGCACATTTTGGTTTTCCAGAAACGTGCTTTTGTCTCTCCATGATCCTGCAGTACAATGACTTTTCCAGAAACCCCTAGAGGGGGAAAGGAAAACATTGTGTGTGTGTGAAAAAATCTTTTCCAGGGAAATTTCTGTAACAGCCCTCATCTCTGTCTTTACCCATTTCTCCCTTTCAGTGTTCAGCTCAGTCATCTTCTTTCACATCTTCCTTTTCTGTCTCTCCAGTCTGTCTCTTTTTTTGTTCCAAATGTAGCCCCCCCCCCCCCCACGTCTCCTTCTGTCTGCCCTCACCACCTCTTCCTTCTTTTACACTTCAAAGCTTTTAGACGGTGTGTGATCTGTGTGGTGGGTCTCTAGCGCACACAGCCCCCCAACAGCACTGCTTCCGCTCACTCTGTGGAGGTGTGCATGTTTGATGATGTGCAAATGTGTTTTTCATGGTATCCATCAAACAGCCACTATTTTCTTGCCTCAAATAGCTGGAGAGAGGAACATCATTGGTGCATCTGTGTGCATCTGTCTACACAGGAAAGTGTAAATCACGTGGTCTGTCTGTGTATCTGGTTTCTTCTCATATCAGCTAATTTGCTTCCTGTATATTTATCCCACTTCCTAAATTGTCCCCTTCCCTTTGATAAGGACAACTTTCAAACACAGTTCATTTTTGTACTGAATGAATCAAGCTCAAAGTTTGACATAAATTGTGTTAAGAAATCATACATCTCTTTTTTTTCTTTTCCATTCCTCTTCTCACCAGTCCATTTTGCTGCTTGGCGCTGTGGCGTTGCTGTGTCTGGGCCTGGACCTCATCTTCCTCCTCTTCTACTCATTCTGGCTTTGCTGCCGGCGACGCAAGAGTGACGAATCCTCGCACTCCCATTCGCACTCCCAGCAGCCCAGCGCTGACTGCTGCTGCACCGCCTGGTGCGTCATCATTGCCACGCTCGTCTGCAGGTGAGAGGTTATCCCCAGGACACTTGATAAAGTCATGTATATGTTTAACCCCCTTTTCCCCTGCGGAAAAATAATTGTTTTATCAAGAATGCTTAAGTGAGTAAGGGTTGATATATTTAATCATTCTCCCCAATTAAAGGAATTGCCCTGTAGCCTTAAGTGGAGACTCAGATCTTTTCCTTGTGGACTGAAAGAGGAGGCTTGACATCGATTTACTGGGCCTGTTGCTGCATAGACCAATATCTTTTATTCTAATATCTCAAAAAAACTTTTGTCTGAGGTTGAAAAGTTGGCATTTTGTTGCAGACAAAGCATTCATTTCCCTGTTGCATGCAGCAGTCCAGACAGGAGACATTGTTGTGTGTCATCCTGTCTCTTTCATCATAGCAGCTGATAAAAAGACTGCGGCGTAAAGGTGGATTAAAACACAAATGCCATCCTAGCTTGGAAACAGCAATGAAATTCTATGATAAATTAGAATTACCAGAGCTCAATTAATCATGCAATTTTGTCATGTCCTCTAGTTCATGGAAACACAGTCTGGGGAAACCCTTTGATAATGTCAAAAATGTATTCCAATCAAGCTGAAAACACGGCTGCTAGCTAAGATTTTGTGCATGTTTTTCACTTGACAGCAGCCATAAGTACTGAACATTATGACTGTAAATCTACCTTCAGTCTACATTCAGTCTTTGTTTAAGCAAGAAAACCCTAACTGGGTGTAACTGGGAGCCAGCCAGGTGGTTACACTCCACTGTTTGTGTTTATCTGACTCTGAAAGCTGTGTGTACACTCTGAGGTCTTTCACCCAAGTGACCCAGCAGCAGGGTAGACTGTATTTCCACCACAGACACTGGGGCTGTGGACTCTGTTCTTCTTGGCGCACACAAACATACAAACTAGTTTTCTTTCATTTGCTCTCTCAACTCTTTTTTTTTTTTCTGCTTCCCCTCTCCAGACATTCTCTCCCTCTCATCCCCTTTTCATCATCTCTGTTAGTCCCCCTTCGTTATTTATTATTTCTCTCTGTTCAGCCTTCTCCCTGGCCTAGAAAGGTTGCCATGGAGACAGAAGCAGATTTGCTGCAGAGATGGGAAATGAATTATACAGTTAGGAGGAGCTATGTCTGTATGTGTGTGTCTGTGTGTGTGTGTGTTCGCGTGACTCAGTGCTGAGTGTTTTTTGCAGGTTTTAATATTTTATGATTAGCTATAATATTTGCTATTGAATATTTGATATGGGGGGGGGGTGTATGTGTGTGTGTGTGCGCGCGCGTGTGTGTATGTATGTGTGTGTGTGTGTGATCGTGATTCTTTGTCCACAATTTATTATGACATAATATTTTATTTTTGGAACAACGCTAGCCACATGTGGACTTCCTCCATTTGTGTGCAGGTGCAGTGTGTTTAGACAGAAGAAGCTGTGTGCTGTATTAGGCTTTTTACAATTGGCCTATATGGATTACAAGGATAAGTCGATTAATAGATTAGTCGATCAACAGAAAATCTATCAAAAAATTTGGATTATCAGAAGAATATGTCCCAAAACATTTGCTAGTTCCATCTTCTTTGGGCCTTTTCTCTCTTTTTTGGATATTTTATAGATAGAATAGTTCCTTTAATACTCTAAAAAATGAAGAAACAACAGCAAAGTGTGAATAAATCAATCCAACTGTTTCTCTGTATAATACTGATTCCGATTCATCAACTCAGAGTTTCTGTCAGTACCAAAAACTTATTCGATGTCCGTGCTCACTTTTCCCCAAACTTAAAAACTATATACCAAACTGAACTCATTGTAGTCATGTATATGTAAGGACTCTGTGGCTGGCTGTGACTGAATGAATGTAACATGAATGTGACAGTTCTAACACTGAATTTTATTATTACAATCATTGTAATAAAAAAAATTCAGTGTTAGAACTATACATGTAGAGGTTATACTATTGTGTAAATACATTGAATGGCTATTCATGCCAGCCATACTTATTATCAATGTTTTTTGATTTTATGAAAATGTTGAGATTATAACTTCAAGCGGTTATGAAATGGCTGACACCCAACAGGCTAATTAAAGTCAGAATATGCGCCAATACATAGGAGATCGGTGGTGAAATTAGTATGCCACCCTAGTCTCACATTGCTGATAATATTTTACAGTGTACGACTACAAACTACTTTTGTTGTCGTACACTGTTGTCACCGGTTTACATGGCAAAGTATAAAATTAAATTGATGTACCACTAATTGGATGCATTGATTTTGGATTCAGGAGAATCACTTTGGTTTGGAGTTGAACTCATCATGGACACAATTTTGCATTTACAATCTCATCTACTGAGCTCCAGCTGAGTGCATTTTAGTGTGCTCATATAGGTACAGCAAAGCATTTTAGCATTATCGTGTCAGCTGAAAATGGACTGAAGCAGCACTTAGTATGTATGTGGTTTTACTGTGTGGACATAGTGTTACTATGTGTAGCTTTGTCATCAGAACTGCCTCACTGGACAATGATTGCTGTCTATAACTTGACTCCTTAACTTTGGCCTTACTGCAACACCCACCCCACCCCTCACATCTCCTATCCTAAGTTGTTGGTTAATGAAGTCATAAAAAGTATGAGCAGGTATCAAACCAGTGAGATAGAACTCTGGGAGTCAGGTGGACTGAGAAGATGATGGATGAAAGAAAGAAATTGGAGATAGAAAGGAGTGGGAGAGAGAACGGGTGGTAGAAGAGAAGAAGAGGATGAGTAAACAGGAGTGGAGGGAGATGATTTACTATTAAAACTGTGATGAGTAAGATGGTGGGAGGCAGGGATGGGTGGGGAAATGGACAGATAAAAAAGAAGATATTTACATTAACACACAAAGCACATTAATATGCCTCCATGCCTGTCTTTATTTTGTTCGTCTTGTCAAGTCTGTTTCCCTCTGTAGTTGTTTTTTTATGTCACATGTTCACATAAAGTCCATCATAAAGCTTTGAAACACGCACACACACACACCTACACAATGGCATGTGTGTGTAAACCCGCTGTAACATGGGGCTACTCAAGATCTAATGGGCTAGAATGAATTGCCTTAACAATGGCAATAAATTTCCCTCTACAAAGCTGTCTGTTGTTAGTGTGCAGACAGAGACATTATCAATACAAAGAGTGCAGTCATACACACATGCACATACAGTATACAAAGAGAAAGGTGGGGGCTACAAGAGCTTTCCAGGGTGATTGAGAAAATAAGAGCACAGTGGGGAGGGGCTATGTAGGGAAAGAGTGTTAGACGGGGAGTGTAAAGGAGAATACTTTGGAAGTGGTGGTGGTGGTGTTGATGAGGTTGAGGGGTTAGTTGTGGGGTGAACACAGTTAAGGAATACTAGGGTTTGGAAGAAAGGGTGTTGGGGCCGGGAACCTCAGATATTGTAGCATGTGTCATGTGTGAATGTGGATGCATAGCTGCAGAAGGATCATATTATGTGCGGTCTGGTGACCCAATTGTGTAGGCTCTGTGTGTGTGAATCATTCCTGGTAGTCCTGTGCTTGTCCCAGGCCTGAGGGTGACACCAAAGCAAAGAACATAGAGCTCAGTGCTGCCTGTTGCTGGTTAACAGAGGAACTGCACTTAATAACCATCTTTGCTGCAGTTTTGGAAAAGGATGGGAGAAGAAAAACTATTATTGAACTTGTTCATCTTTATTGATTAATTTGGTGCCATCTCATGGGTGAATTTAGTCAACACTTTTCATGTCATGTTTTCTGTCCCCCAGCGCTGGCATTGCTGTAGGATTCTACGGAAATGGGGAGTCAAGTGATGGAGCCAATCGTTTGGCATACTCTCTCCGTCATGCCAACCGCACCGTATCCGGGGTGGAGAAACTGGTGAGTTATCTGCTGTATTGTTACACTTTTTCTCCCCCCCCCCCCCCCCCCCTCTAGATGAAGTTCTTTCCTGTGAATGTCTAGGTGTCAGACAGTGCCCTAGCCTTAAACCAGACAGTGGAGGAGAGCTTGGTGCAGTTGGAGATAGCCTTCCATGACCAGACAGACTACGTTTCCATCGTCCAAAAGCTGCAGGGACAGCTGGACGAGCTGGTGAGGTTGATGGTGGATGTTCCCTTCTGGTCCAATACTGACATTTCCCTGGAAGACTTGGCCCGCAAGACAGAGGCTTTTGATTTTTACAGGTCAGTCAGTTGTAACAAGTAATGTTATGTGTTGTAATGCAAATACATACATACATTGATTCATTTGGCTGACGCTTTTTATCCAAAACGACTTACATTTGCTAAATATGTCGGAGGTTGCACGTCTCTGGAGCAACTACAAGACGAAGATGAAGATATACTTTATTTAATCCCGCGAGGGGAACTAGGGGTTAAGTGTCTTGCTCGGGGACACAATGGTGGACACGTCACAGTGGGGAATTGAACAGAGGTCTCTAATACCAAAGGCATGTTTCTTATCCACTGCTCCATCACCACCCCAAATGTATTAGCTGGATCAAAGTGACAACTGATTTGTCCAGAGGGCTTGGTGAATATTCCTTTCAGAAAGGCAAGGTCAAGTTAAAATAATTAAAATCAACCATTCTAACAAGGTCAGAAAGTTGTTAACCAACCATGACAACAATGCTGTAGCAGTAGAAAGCTATATATGAAACATATCCAACATGGTGTTTATTTGGTTGATCCAAACATCAACCAAATAAACTAATTTTGCAATAAAATATTTGTATACAACTATCCATTTCCACAAATTGACATATGAAAGTTAAGAAAAAACATGGCTTTGTTCTACCTCGGGTAGGAGTACTTCCAAAACTAAAGCCTTTTGGGTTCTTTTGCTCCTCTGCATTATAGAATGTCCTGTATTTGTATGAAACACTGTGGTAAATTTGGGTTTACAGGTGGTTGGGGTATCTTGGCCTGCTGCTGTTTGATGTACTCATATGTCTTCTGGTGCTCTTCGGCCTGATACGCAACTCTAGAGGCACTCTGATTGGGTACGTTGCTTCACATCATACCCCAAAAGCTGCTCCTATTGGATGAGTCAAATCTTTTCTAGACTCTGAATCTGTGTCTATTAAAACTGTGCAAATCATATCATGTTGTTAAACTGAATTTTGTGCATTTTTTGTGCCCTTCAGAGTGTGTCTGCTGGGAGTTTTGACTCTGATAATAAGCTGGGGGTCTCTCGGCCTGGAACTGGCTGCTGCTGCTGTAAGTGTAGCCATGGCAACATCTCCGAGCTCTCTGACTCTGCAATGATGTAATCTTTTACCCAACTGCTTGAGCGAGTGTGTTCAGTGTGGATATTACTGTAGCTTGATGTGTCATGTGTGCTTTACCCTCTCACAGTCAGCCAGCGACTTCTGTGTTTCCCCTGATACCTACATCACCAGGGTAACCAAGGAAAACGCCGTCATCAACCAAGGTTTGCAGACAAAAGCAGTCATTTTTAATACATTTTGTGCAAGATACAGTGTTTCCAAACCTTTAATCACAAAAAAGCAGTGTCTACATGTAAACACTTCTCACAGGTTAAAAATGTCCCTTTGTTGTGAACAGTTCAGTCAAAGACCACATTTTCCTCTTCGGATTGTTTTATTTGAATATTTTTAAAGGACTAAAGAGGTAAACCAATGCAGTGTTTTCATTTGACAACATTTTATAATGCATGATTAATAGTATTAGTTGTAATGTGGGAATGAAGAAGGAAGGAATATTGGTCAATGGACTGCTCATAGGCCGATACTATAGGTTGATAAATAAGCAGTAACATCTTCAATAAACTCCACACTGACAGTTGAATCTCACTCTGACATGTTGCTTCTATTTTAAGAAACAAGTGTGTGTGTGTGTGTGTGTGTGTGTGTGTGTGTGTGTGAGTGTGTATCCAAAGGGATTGTGTTTGACTGACACTCTGGTATCTAAAAGCTTTTACTCTCTCTCGCTGACTGCAATGCATCAGCTATCCTGCACCCACCCAGCTCACTCTTTCTCCTGCCCAACCCAGATGTAAAAAAAAAAAAAAAACCTTCAGAGCACGTTTTTGCTATTTCACTTAGGATCATTATCTGATTTGTTTTCTCTCTCCATCCTTTTATATTCCTCTTTACCACGCAATTGCTCCCCTTCTTCCTCTCCCTCCTTCACTTCCCTCTTTGCACTCATTTAATGAGTTCTGTTGTCTGTCAGTTGTTTCCACGCCGTAGAGCACAGATGTTGCCTCTGTAACACACACACAAACACACAAAAATACATCCAAATACATACACACAATTGTGACTGAATAATCTCCCAGATTCTGAGCATAGAAATATACATATGTATGTATGTATTATTATTCTATTGATATATTTTTAATGGTACATTCCCAGATATCTTGCAGTATTACCTGAGGTGCAGCTCTGGCCAAATTAACCCCTTCCAGCAGGTAACTTCAACCTCTTGTTATCTTGTTATTCTGTTGCTTTTTGTAGAATTCAATGCACATCAGTTCCTTCATTCAGGTGATTTACCTGCTTAAACCTGCAATTAAATAACCAAAGGATGTTTTTTTGTGTGTGTGTGTGTGTGTGTGTGTCTCTGTATGTTTTGTAGAGGCTGTCAGGGAGTCACAAAGCATTGGTGGAGATGCAGGATGATGTGGCAGAGTTACTGAGATCAGCAACACGTGATTATGCAAACACCAAGGTTTGTGTGCTTGTGTGTAATGATCTGTAGGTATTTTCTCGCATCAGTGGATTTGTGTTAGTGCGAGCGTGATGAAAGTGGCAGTTGCAAAAGTCTAAGCACGCGTGTTCATCGGCTGTGTATGGATGAGCATGCATGTGTAACCTTTGCATTGTGTGTGCAGGGGAGTCTCGAGCAAATCCAGTCTGTGTTGAATTCCACTGAAGTTGGTCTTCACCAGCTGACTGCTCTGGTCGACTGTCGCAGCCTACACATGGTGAGTCATTTTGCGTGTTGTGTTCGAAGAGAAAAGTCCTCAAATCCAAGACTTGAGGTCAAACAACTGACTCCTCTCCTCTTTCTCTCCATGCAGGACTATGTTCAGGCATTGACTGGGCTGTGTTATGATGGGGTGGAGGGTCTCATCTACCTGGTTCTCTTCTCCTTTGTCACTGCTCTGATGTTCTCCTCCGTTGTGTGCAGTGTGCCACACACCTGGCCTGGCAAGAGGTAACACATACACATAGTCTCTCACAAACACAGACTTGCAAAAGCCTTCACATTCCTACATCTATGTCTTTAGTTAATCTACACTAACAGCTAACATGTTACTAGTTCTGACTTCTTAAGTGTCTAACTACATTCACCTTATGACCTGAAAACAGTGGAAAGACTCAAAAAGAATCTACTCGGTGCCCATGCATGTCATTCTTTTAAGTGTATTTGCCTCCTGAGCTGTTGTATCCAACATCTTCCTGCCTGTCATTGCATCCATCCAGTTTTCTCTGCAGTTTTGTTTATTTTATTGTTTGCTGTTAGCACTGCCAGTCTGGCTGATTGTTTGTTTCTATGTTTGTACATGTCTCTCATTTCTTTTTTTCCACTGTGAACTTGGAGCACCGGTTTTGTGTTAGATTGTGTATCACCACGTTTTTTTTTTTCTCTGCCCCACTTCCTCCTTCTGTTCTGTCCCTTGCTCCTCTCTCCCTGTCCTGATTTGGAAATGCTTTAGGCTTCAGTGAATGATAGTCGATAGTGAGAAAGTTAAACGACCCTATACAAAGGTAATGGCCAATACAAATACCCTATAAAGCAACCAAATCATTCTTTGGTAAAATCAATGCAAAGAGCTTTAGACTACACATGCTAAGATGGGTTTCACTCTGGTGAACGAATTTTGTGCCATAATAGTCGTGTTTTACGCTTGTTTGTTGGGTGTGAATTACCAGCAGTGCTAACGTGTATGGCCCAGCAGGTATTAGACAATAATCCATAATGTCCCAAAATTTTGCAAGAAAAACTGCTTATGGGGTTAGTTGCTTATTAGACTGACTGTGCTGCAACTGCTGAGTCTGTTTGATGGGCTGCACAATCTAGCTCTTTTTTTGGTTGCCACCTCCATCTGGTGGCCAGTCAACACAGTAACTGCTTTTGTGCCTTTTGTCTCTGTTAACATAGAGCCCTGTTAAAATGTTCCTCATACAGTTTGCTCCCTCTTTACTTCTTTGAAGCATTAACAGCTTGATGGGACTTTGTTAGTTTGTTGACAGCTGGTATAGACATCCATAAAACAACATAGAAGAAAAAAAATAATAGCATCCACATACACACATGTACATGTATTTTGTGGTTGACCCGTATGTTGTAGAAGCCAGTACATTTCTGTAGCCAGAGATTCCAACTTCCAAATCAGCACATATCCTATTTGATGCCTCATTCTGTTACGTTGCTGGCCGTTTTACATTTTAGACCATTTTATGTCTGAAAATGGTTTGCCCAAACCAGCCATATTATCTCCTTTTTTCCTGATGTTTTTGCTTTACGTTTCATGGAGCACTCAGTGATGCATGAAGTACTTAAAAGAAAATGGATTTATGAAATTTTATTCTGTTGGGACAATTTTAAATGGACAATAATTATCAGGAGCGATTCCTCCAAGTGCATAGAGTATGACTGCATGAAGAAAATGACTGCATGTTTCTACGTATTAAGAGAATTTGAGAATATCGATGAGTCTGTTGTCTTCATACAGTTTAATATCATGTTACTACACACAGCAACAAAAACAGCTTCATGGGTCCACTCTGGGCTGTGTAGTGATATTAGAGACCCCAGTGTACTTGTAGTGGTACTTTGTAGATGAATGCTGCCCATGTTCCTTTTTTTTTTGTTCAGCTGCTATGGGGCTGAAGGCATGGCCTTACCCTGTATTTTGTATCAGGGGACTCCATATACTACAAGCACACCTTCCCTCACCTAACCTCCTCTTCAACCACTTGTTTACACTGTTGTCTCTCTCGGATCTCCCTCCCCTCTACCTTTTCCCCTCCTATCCATCATGCCCTCTCGTGCCCTGCCCTTACCCTGACCAATTGAAGGACGGATGAGGAAGACGGAGAGGACGAGTCGGGTGCCTCACGGGGCGGTGTGCACGATAACCTGTACCGCGTTCACATGCCCAGTCTCTACAGCTGTGGCTCCAGCTACGGTAGCGAAGCTAGCCTGCCCGCTACCGCCCACACTGTCAGCAATGCCCCCGTCACTGAATACATGTGAGTTAGCACCCACCGCTAGCTAGAGGCTAGCAGGATCAATACACTGCCTGCCATTGGTAGCCGATGCTTGCCCCCTCCGTGACCCATAGCAACGCTCACTGCTTGCGATACGACAAGTTAGAATAGCTATTTTTTTTGCTATGTTTGGCTCGCATGTCCTTTGTGACACAATGTCAGCAATGTTTGTCACTCAGTGAGTTAGAACCCTTCACTAGTTTTCCCTTTGATGCTGACAGAAAAATTGCTGCCTGCTGTATCAGCCAGCCTATTTCAGTCCACAAAAAACAAATTAAAACATAATTCAGGTTTCCACTTGCTATAGTTTAAGTTAATAAATAAATTTCACCCTGCTTGCTACATGTTACAGTTTGCCACAGGACTGCTTGCTCTGAATACAACAAACAATACAGAAGAGAAATAAGCATATATCTCTTATCTACCACTGCTTGCTACTATTTTAGCTGTGAGCTAATCAAGTACTATGTGGTGTTTGCTGCTAAAGAAAGAACTCTGCAGCAAGAAATAATAAAATAAACAGTACCTGTATACTAAAAGTTATTATAGGATGACCATGTTTTTCATGTTTTGGGCCATTAACAAACCCTGTATGCTTAACAATACTGATGACTACATTTCAAAGCATGCAATAGGGTTTTAGAGAGATTTATTTCTTTCCACATAGCCAGAGAGTCTTGTTTTGGTCCATAACAGAATGGTACGAGACTGGACATTGGTTTATTATATATAATATATTTATTATATTTGCTTATTAGTCAAAGTTAAGTTATCATTGCATGATTGTACATTTTTAGGCATACATTTTTCCTTGTCGTGCTTAAATCTGACATTCACGAATAAGAGTCTGCCAGCTGCCAATAGAACAGATTCACATAATCCTAGGAAATTAGTTCAGTAATTTACAGTACACCTAAACTTTGGAGAATGGTGTGGCAGAAATGTAAACTATACTTTACAGTTAATGGACCAAAACATAGAAAACCACTTATTTGTCCATTATTACATTTTATTTTAAACTGAAACAGATCTTTAAATACTGAGCAATTATTAATCTGTGTTGTTATATCACACGACATGGGTAAAAATACATTCAGCTAGTTTAAAAACTTTGAACTGTTTCATGTACTTTTGATTTATTTTCCTTGTGAGAACTGTGGTGTTCTCCCATACATATCATATCTCTTTGCATTAATACTGTTAGTTGAACTATGTTCCTTCAGTTTTTTCAGACATTTATAATATCTACCTAAAGGTTTGTAGGTGTCTGACTGTTAACATCAGTGATCACTTGCGCTTACTGTTGTAGATAAAACACCAACGAAATACCTGTTATTTGGCTTCCTATTAAATTGTGCTTGCAAAGGGCATTTGGAGCTTACTGAACGGATATTTTATGTTAAAAGCCTTCTTTTTAATCCTTTAGTAGTTACTTTGCAAATTACCAATATATACTTATGACAAAATGTGCCTACGGCCAGTTTCCTGTGGGTCCCCACACTGATAAAAGTACTATTTTACTGAGCCAGTGTCTCACTGTAAGTGTTTGTCTTTTGTGCATTGTTAAGAAAGTATGTTAACTATGTTGGACTGGCAGAGGTGTTTAACCTCTGGCCATATGGTACCACCAAGCTTAAGTCCCTGGCTTGTAATTATTACTGAGGCCATTTGTCAGAGAGTCATTAAGAAGTAGTCATGAGCAGACCACAGATCAAAAAGAGATCAACAGCTTAACAACTGAGCGCCAGTGGCAGGGTGACCACATGCAGTAACCTCTTATTCTATAATGCAGGAGCCAGAACGCAAACTTTCAGAACCCTCGGTGTGAGAACACCCCCCTGATTGGCAGGGAGTCCCCTCCACCCTCTGTAAGTGCACACTTTCTAGAACACACTCTCCCTCCACTATCTTCCAATACCCACAGTGCAGCCTGGAAATATTCCAAACCGGAGAACCCACAGAGATGGCATTTTATAATTTCAGAATTGAATGATGGAAGCATGGTGTTGATAAATGTACTTGGACCCTATACCTGATGTTTTTCATTGCATGCTACTGTGGATATTGGAAGGTAGTCCCCTATCCCTACACCACTGCAAGTGTACTCTGTGCTCAAACTAGACCGTGATCATGGATCGCTTTTATGAAGGTCATTTTGGCAGCCTGGGATAACTGGAAGTTTGAAAAGAAGCCTGTTGTCAGTAGGATTTGCCCTTGCATCAAAAGAAAGGCTTGTCGCTTTATAGAAGTGTAATAGTTGGGTCATGTTAGACACAAAGTTGTCCTCTATTTCTGATGTAAAAAGTCTGGTTGGTTTCACTGTGGCTGTCAGTGCCATGCGAGGAGATCTTGGAGACCACGTAACAACAGATGGCCAGCTCAGAGACATCATTGAGAGAACCTCTTGGAGTTTTTTAATATTTCAAGCTTTTTCTTCAATATCAAAATACATAATTCTGCCTGTCTCGCAGGTGTCTGAATTGCATCTGTTGTTTTAACAATTTGCCACAAACAGGTTGACTATTCTGGCTGTGACAAGGTGCTGCTGGGGCTGTAGTTGTGGATGTTGTTCCATGCAGTATCACCTGCATACAATGCATGCAACGGCTACAATGCCATGGACTGACAAAATTGAATCAACAAATGTAGCTCTATAACTTCTGAACACCTTTTAGGATAACTTCTTTGCTCCTTGTCACCTGGCCGTACCCTGCAGTGAAGCTGAAATATTTTTGACAGTAAACTGGAGCCAAAACCTCTAAAATTCCTGCTCCCCCCTATTCCCACAGTGTGTCTATGTGTGCATTTTCTTGTCGAGGTGTATTTGTCCACTGTTTCTGTGCCCCCTCACGCTTCACCATTAAACAGTCACAGGAGCACATGTTTCCCACCTCCACTGTTGAACTGTAGCCGGCACCAAAAATGCCAATGATTCATCATTCTTAGGCAGGGCTGTCGACCGCGCCGCCATCCTGTGCCAGAGTGCTCACCCATCATCAGTGTCTGCAGTGATGTGGAAACCAGAGACCTCCGACAGTAACTAGCTAGCTGCTCACAAGAGACCACTAACTCATACCAGCCTAACCTACTACATCAGAACTAGAGCACTAACTACAAACCACTGACAAAATGGACCACATATGCTAATTTACAATAACATCATGCAGACCTAATCAGCTGTTATGTAACAAATGCCTGTTGTAATCAAACCCCCGGCTGTCCAAATGACTGGTCAGAGTATTTTTGCTGTACATGTGTGTGTGATTGTTTGCCTCTCTCTCTCTCTCTCTCTCTCTCTCTCTCTCTCTCTCTCTCTCTCTCTCTCTCTCTCTCTCTCTCTCTCTCTCTCTCTCTCTCTCTCGTTCATATTTTCTGATATGTTGTACATTATTTAACTGTGAATCTGTTTATACATTACTCCTTTTATTCTTCAGTGTAAATAAGGCTTGATCATAATGCACACATGTTTTCCTCTTCTTGTCTTGTTGTCTTTTATTCCTATTTTCTATTTTCCCTCCTGCTTATAATTGTTTCCCACTTCAATTTCTCCCTCTGGTTGTCTTTGTTCCCAACATATTTCCCTCTGTCACCCACCGCTCTTCCCTCTTTCTTCCCCCCCCCTTCTCCCTTTTTTCCCTCACTGTCCTCCATCTCTTCAGTACACCTCCAGTATGAGAGCGAAGTACCTTGCCACCAACCGACCGGACCAGAACCGACGCTCTGTTCCCAACGACCAACTGGACCCGGCTAGCCGACCTAACCCCGCTGCCCGACCACAATCCTCAGTCCACTAGAGACCAGATCCGCACCAGTCCACCCTAGTACTGCCTGAATCCAGTTCTCACAGCCAATAACAAGATCCAACTCAACGCTGTCTAAAGCCCCAACAGGACCCCTGACCGGTTCACCAGAAGCAACACAGCAAGCCAGAACTCGTCAACCAAACACCTCAGCAAAGGACTGCACTTTGAAGGTCAACCTTTACTTCTCATCCATAATTATCCAAAAAGTAAAAAGCAGAATACCCATCACAGAAGAACTTCTACTCCTCTTCTTAGTGGACACACACCCCGAGCTGCTCGTTCCACCACTGCTGTGATGTATCAGCCCACATACCCACAATGCACAGCAGCTAAAGCGCCTTGGCTCCTCTCAAGTTTCTTCTTCTACTTTTCAATTCTCTCTTCCTCACTCTCGGATCCGTTCACTGCCCTCCAGTGGAGACGGCTACGCCACTCCCACCACTTAATCCCCCAACACTTACACTCAGACCGCACACTCACACACAAACAAGTGCACACACACATGCACACAAACACACACACTGTACAGAGCTGTAAATAGTAAACATGTGCTTTACTCTGATTTCATGAAAAGTAGACTGTTGAATCATTACTGGTTGTGTTGTGTGCAGCGTGTGTATCATGAATATTTTCACTGTCTCTCATGCACGCACACACACACACACACACACACACACACACACACACACACACACACAAAATGGTGGACACATCTGTATAAATAATAAGCCAGTAAACCAGAAAGCCATGTTTAAATATAAACAGTACCAACACATCCACATTCTCTTTAGCTTAACATTGTCATCTAACTAAGACTTGAATTGAGAGATTAAAAAGTGTGTCCATGTCTCTCTATGTTTGTGTAAGTGCACATAAGTCGATTAATGCATTTTCAATATGAGCCAGGAAACTTGGTGTGGAATAACTGTTGAATTTTGGGACCTGGAGAGAGAGAGACAAGGGACATAAGAAGGCTCAACCTGTGCCAAAAAACTGAACAATTAGGGATGCCTGATTCTGTCCTCTTCTCCTACTGCCTCCAGATATCTCAAACAAGGGAAAAACCTCACGTGGAATGTTTTCCTTCCGACTGTAAATAATGAGGGAACGGGAAAGACTCTTGAAAAAGGAAAACAGTGGACATAAATGGAATAAGACTCACTGAAAATTGCGACTACACATTTGCCAGGTGCTATGTAAGCCAGTCAAGGTCCCAGAAGACGATCAGGACTGGGGAGGGGGGGACAGAAACCTTTATTGTCACTTTAATGTTTTGTTTTCATTCAGGGATGTGACCTGGAATATAAAAACCAGTAAGAAGTAAACTGCTTTTACTGAATGGAAGTTGTGTCCCAAAACCTGAAAAAAATCATGTCCCTGATAAACAATGTTATATATAAGTGTTTCAAATGAAAGAATGAGGGTGTTTTTTATGTTTTATCATAAGCTGAAATTTGGGATGTGATTACTGTGACCAACTGTAGTATTTTATGTTTCTTCTTTCTGTGCTTTTATTTTGCTAACTTGTGTCCTTGGTTGACCTTTAGCCACCAGTGTAGTGTTTATCTTTCTTTTTTGTTTTCTTTTTTACCCACAAGCACAAATTCTCTTCAAGGTGACTTTGCGAGATGGAGAAGTAAAACGCACTGCCTGGGACACTGCCAGTGGTTTTTCCTCCTGATCTAAAACTCTTTGTACAGTGTATAAAAACTGTATTCGTGAACCCGTGTGTGTGACATCAATGCAGCGTGATTGGCTATTGCTCTATCTCAGTGTTACTGTGTGTAAGTACAGTGATCAGTGTGTCTGACTGGTAGCAAGCAAGGGCCGGCCTATCTAGCCTGTCATTTCTACACAAGACGCCGCGCATGCCCTCTTACACACACATTGAAATACACACATACATGCTGTACAGACATCCACATTCAACACACACACACACCACTGTTTCTTATAAAAATCCATCTTTCCATACCTTTGTCCATTTTACATTCACTCCTAGAGCTGTAATAACTACTAGCCCTCCCACAGCTATGACATCACACTGATAACCATTTGCATTATGGGTGAAGTAGTAAATGCATTTCAGAGAAACCTGGAATCTAGCAATTAGCTGGGTGAGCAGAGCCCTAACATTCAAATACCTTTCAACCACCATTCCTGTATAGCATTTTAATATGTTATTATTAATCAATGACCACTTCTCGTATTAGCGAGACAATCTTACATGTGTGATTTTACTAGAAAGAAAATGTCCATGTTATGGTAACAATGCTACCTATGGTCTAGTACTTTACAGTGTTTTCTGCACCATCGATGCAAACGATGTTAAGATCTGTGGGACTAGTCACTGATTAATGGCCTTTCATAATGTTTTTAAACTCTTACAACACTCTTCATATCACAACATGTTTTTTTTATTTTTCTCTGTCTTGTAAAAATCAAACTTTAAAGATAAAATAATAGCTAGCTGTTTTGTAGGAGAATAAAGGCAAGAGCAGCGTTTTTCCTCTCTTATTAATGGTGAATGACTCTCTGTCTTGCAATGTTTTAATAAAACTATTCCAGTGTAGTCTGCACACCTGATTTAAAGTTGTATTTGAATTCCTGTGCAATGCTCTCTGGGATTTAACTAATCTGATTAAGGTATGTCCTGATGGAAAAGAAGATCCATGCTCATGTTTAAGAGTGAGTAATGTTTGTGTGTATGTGTGGTATTTGCAGGACTTCAAATACACCTCTGTCCAGTTGTGAAAGACAATGTTTTCTATGGCTGTTTTTATTTTCTGATGGTTTAACTAAGATATTAATGATGTACATGTCAAAACTGTGGTAATGATATCATTCAGCCTGGAATAAATGTTTTAAAAAAACAAAATTAAAGCAACTTTAACGTACAGGTTCAGGACTGTGGGTTCTTTTTAAATGCATAAACAGAGATGTGTCGGTTTTTTGTTTGCCGTGTCAGTTTTAATAGCCACTAAACATAGTTTTCTACCTTATTGAATTATATATACATATAGGTGTGAATATATAACTTTATACATTGCTGATGATGAATTGAGTGGAAAACCCCTCCATAACCTTCCACTTTTTAGGGTTCTGTTTATTTTACTGCAGCTGTAGGATGTAGGAGTCCAAAATGTAACATACTGTAGACTTACAAAGAAATGTGTAAAAACGGCTATTAATTAACAAATAAACATCTAGAGAGCTAATGAAAAATAATACACTGATAAATAAAACACATCATTCTGACTTCCCAACAGGATATTTGTAGAAACACAAACTTTAGTCATTAGCCTCTGTCCTGTGTTTCACATAAATGCTGTATTAAATTTTTAAGCATATAAGCAACGTCTAGAGGGAAAGCATTCAAATCACCTTCTAGCTCATGAAAAGATATTAAATATCATCTGAAGACCAAACAGTCCTGAAATATCTCCTTTGTGTATTTCTCTGTAAATTCATGTTTTCCTTTATAAAATATACTTACTGATGCCAGGTAGCTCTGTTAAGCCATACTAGGTGCGACATTGTACCTTCAAACTACACTGGACTTCTTGGACAATCTTGAGAAATTGTCTTTTGTTATCTCCACCTAGTGGTATTGTAGTGCAAGTATATCATTCAAGTACCAAATTCTACTTGTTCTATAATCTGGAAGGAATGTTTCAAACTTTATGTGTGTGTGTAGCCGTACACGATCCAAACAGGATCTGTGTGGTAACGAATATGTGAATCCAGTCGTATGATTTCCCCAGACAGACAGTAATTACACACACAAGATGTCTGAAAATAGGAGTGTTATCTCTGAACATCAATTCAACCACAACATCCAACAACACAACAGTGAACACTGGTCAGACACCAAATCTGTCACCTGAACATTTGACCTACCAAATACGTCTTTTTCATTTCAAGCCGTCAATGGGTAAAAAGGTTGAACATCAGTGTTTCAAGACAAGTAAATAAATCATGTATTCTTTCAGCCTACTTATTCAGATTACTTTTTCAGAAGAAGAAATCACCTCCATGACTTAACATTTACGATTATTCCTAACTAATATCAAAGTCCATAACACGTCCATCCAAGAACTACACTTCAAGCTTTTCTCAAAGAAACCCTGTTAATGGAGAACAAATATAATAGCAGTAGACCCTACAGACATGGTTTTTGTATAAATTAAGGACAATGAGAATTTGTAAATATTATTTTTGGGTTACAGATCAATGTGTTGTATATAAGAGAACTGGAAACAGACTCAGGCAACACCCTGATGAAGGCAAGATGGCCAAAATATTTGTTGTGAATATAGCATCGTGTACTGGAGAAGAGTTGTCTTGTGCAAACATTGTGGATCTGTGACACTTGAAACTGACACCAGAGCTTTATAGATATCTTTTCCAGTAATGAAAGTGTGCAGGTTGTCCTCAGTGTTCAATCTAAAAGCCGTTCAGTAGAATAAAGATTGTTGTGAAGGGTGGTATGTCCTGAGTTGTTGAACACATCTAGATGTGAATACCAGGAAATGAGAGCTGAAATTCTGAACTCTTGTCTCATACTCATCTTTTGATCTTAAACCCAAATGTCGTCAGTGTACAACAAAAACAAACGAATCTGCGTTACTGTTCCAATACTTTTGGAGGGTACTGTATTATCACTGGAAAGCTCTTAAAACTGATCGTGCTGCCAACTGCAAGAAAAACACAATCACAATCATCTTTATTGCCAAGCAGATTAACACATACAAGGAATTTGCTTTGTTGTTTTTTGTGCATAACATTAAACATTGTAGGTAGAAAATATAAGAAGAATAAAGCGAGTACTGCAGGTCAACGATCATAAATAAACTTGACAATAAGATATTAAAAAATATAAAAGAATGATAAAGAATATGTACAATATTGCTGTTATTTAAAATACAATTTGTGTAGGGATGTGCAAAATATTTATTTTTTTAATTTGAGATCATTTGCTCTTTGTTGTAGCTGTCAAAAGATCAGCTGCACCTCATGTGGCACATGCTTTATGCTGTTTAAAGGCAATAAACAGAATGTGACTGATTCAGACTCTCACAGCAGCTGTCTGGAGAAAACTCCCTCACAGAGCAAATGGGCTCAGTCAAAAAAAAAAGATGTTCAACTACTGCAACTCTTCATATTCAGGGTTGGTTTTCTTGTGCACCATGAGTCAGCATACAAATCTCTTCATGCCTGTTGTGGTATTTCTGGTGGTGGTAACCTACTTTTGATATACAGAAACAACTTCAGGAAAAAGACGGCAGGTGGTTAAACAATCTATGATCCACAGTTAAAATAATACTTTGACCAAGTTCAACTAGAATTGCGCTGGCCTATGGCTAAAAGTGAAAAACAAGAAGACAAATGGAAATGTGGAAACTTAACCTCACATATTTTAGAAGTTAGGGATGTTGGCTCCCACAGGTCTGATGATGCACTTGCCATTTCTGTTTTTCATTTGGTTTATTGATAGTTTTATAATATATATATAAATACAATACATCCAACTTTGTTAGAAAAAGAATTGGGCTTACATCCATCTTTGTCCCTGGTGTTTCCACAGTCCACATTTACAAATGTCTGATCTGAGACAAAATTTGAAATACCTTCAAACAAGTATTAACATAGGGTTGTAAGTCTGTCAACAGTTTACATATACAGCTAAATATAAAAATAGTTCAGGGTAGACAGCAGAGAGCCATTTTTAATAAACAATCCTAGATTTTACTCTTTGCAGTAACACATACAGCCAGCAGGTGTCACAGTCCTCTCACGGGTATATTAAACCTAAGAATAACTTCACAAATTTACTACTGTGTATCACTGTTTGTGCAAGTGCTCCCCATGGTCCACACAATGCGACATCTCTTGAGTTCACAGTGGAAGAGACACACCACACACACGCAGTCCGCTGATGTTTTGCCTCTATCTCTCCAGGGCCATGTGTATGGCTTGATCAGATAAGAGGCCCACTGTTGTTTCTTGATGTTTGTGGGGAATTCTGTGGGGAGGGGTCTCCAGACAGAAACCCAACAGCTCATAAAAAAGGTCAGAGGTAAAAGGTCGAAGCAGTGTCCCTTTCAAGTATACTGAAAGGGACACACAACTGTTTTTATTGACTTTCATGTCTACATACAGTCCAGATACTGGAGTGAGCATGTACACTTCAGTTGTTCATCATATACATTCATTTAACAAGGGACAGAATTTAACTTAATGACTTTCATTCAGTTGTAACAACTGCTTTCAATGCACAGAAAGATAGAAGACGACCCAACATGAGTCATTTGTCGATAAAACCACAAAGGGGATAGCTTTGTTATCTGCTACAGTATAATGTTTTAAAAGCAGTGTGACATCATTAATAATCATTATGCACCCAAGACAGGTGAGATCCACCTTTTTAGAATATAAAAGAATATTTTGTAACAGAGGCCTCACTGGATGAGTTCCAAATATAAAATTAGACAAAATAGTTTGCAGTTAACCTAGCCTACCATAAAGACTAGTGACAGGAAGAAACAGCCAGCCTGGTTTTGTCTATGGGTTATCTGCTTACCGGCCATACCAGCATATCTTGCTTGTTTTGTGCTTTTACAGGGGATTATGTTGGACAGAGCCAGGCTAGTTGTTTCCGGTTAGCTAAGCTAACTGGTAGCTTTATATTTAGTGTACATACACCAAAGTGGAATCAATCTTCTCTTAACCCTCGTTAAGAAAACAAATGAGCGTACTATAAAATTCTTCTCTAATATCCTTTTATCTTATGATGAATGGCAAACAGCAGAAATAAAACAGCAAAGTGCTCAGTCATTATGATATACTTCAGAAAAAAGATAATACTGAACACTGACAACATAAAACTTCAGATACGGAGTCTGGATTCTATAACACCATCAAAATCCCCTACATGTTTTTTGCTCCAACATGCTAAAAAATGACGAACTGAACCTTATGCATTTCTGTGTTAATTACTTCACTTCATCTATTCAGTGTAACAGTGTCACGTATTGAATCCAAACTGGTTAACACTGCAGCATGTAGGGGCGCAGGGTGGCGACTAAGTAACATATTCACATACATTCAAAAGATTGATCTTTCAGAGCTGAGAAAGTGGAGAGAAGACACTGGAAATGTAGGACAATGCAAGCAAAAGACGAGCAAGCTACATTAGACAGAAGAGTTTTTGAGTGGACAAAACTCCTATACTATTGTCATGGGATGGTAAGTGATGGTGAAAGAGTGGGACAGTCCAGCAACAAAGATTCATTTAAATCAAGTCTCATCTTTAGTCATGATGGAGGCCCGGCATGGCTCCAGGGATGATGGTCTCAATCTGTCGGTTCGTCTGTTGATCCAACACTTTGGTTCAGAGTGAAATATCTCTTTTAACTAACTATTGGGTGGATTGCCAATACGTTTATAGGATGAATGCTTTGGGGACTTTGGTGATTCTCTGACTTTTCAAGGAGCACCAACAAAATTTCCACTTATCCAACGTTGAGATGTACAGTAAAAGAATAATGCTGGTTTATTACTACTTGGGTCTTACTAGTTTTGGCAATCATTTCTCTCGTCAGAAAAACATCGTACTCACCAAAGTAATTTCTAAGATCTAGTAATCGTTAAAAAGAAGTTCTGGTCCAAAGGTAACAAAATCTGCCTTCCAGCACTTCCAAAACTCACTAACATAAAAACAATTAAAGCAACAATCTGATCTGATCCCAGATCTCAGCAATTAATAAAGAAATAAGCAACAGTAGAATTAAACTCAATGCAGAGTATGCAGAGTACAGCTGAAGCTAACAAACAATAGCCAAAACTGACAGGACTGCTGAGCGTGGCGAGGTGCATCTGAAGCTGATTCATGTTGAG